GGGGAAACAAAGGAGGAGGCAACAATGCTTGATAAGAAATGTACTCATTACCTTGCCCATGTAATTGTAACCCCTCTGTACAGTATTTTCACAATAAAAAATCCGGAAGTGGTGCTGTAGCTTAAGTGGTAGAACGCTAGCCTTGAGCTGAAGAGCTGAGGGACAGCCCAGGCCCAGAGTTCAAGCCCTACAACCGACAAAAAAAAAAAAAAAAAGAGGCTCATGGTCTTTCTTGCCCGGGCCAGCTTCAAACCACGATCCTCCGATCTCAACCTCCTGAATAACTACAATTACAGGCTTGAGTCACTAGCACTTGGTGAAAAGAAGAATTAAAGAGAATAATCACTGGGCATCTTGGCCACCATTGCATGGCTGACTTTGTTGTTGTGGTTGTTGTTGTTGTTGTTGTGGGGCTTGAACCCAGGGCCTGGGCCCAATCCCTGAACTCTTTTGCTTCAGGCTAGCATTCTACTACTTTGAGCCATAGAGCCACTTCCAATTTTCTGGAGGTTTATTGGAGATATGTCTCATAGACTTTCCTTCCTCAGCTGGCTTGAACCACAATCCCCAGATCTCAGCCCCCTGAGCAGTTAGGATGGCAGGATACCAGCTTGAAGTATTGTTTTATTTTATTTTATTCCATTTTCATTAATTTTTTGTTGGTCATGGGGCTTGAACTCAGGGCCTGAACACTGTCCCTCAGCTCTTCAGCTCAAGGCTAGCGCTCTACCACTTGAGCCATAGCTCCACTTCTGGTTTTTCTCGTGGTTAATTGGAGATAAGAGTTTCATAGCCTTTCCTGCCTGGGCTGGCTTTGAATCACGATTCTCAGATCTCAGCCTCCTGAGTAGCTAGGATTACAGTTGAGAGCCACTGGCTCCCAGCCTGATTAATTTATTTTTTAGGTGGGAGGCTGGGACTCAAACCCAGCACCTAACACTTTGCCTCATTGGCCAGCGCTTTACCAACTGAGCCATGCCTCCAGCCCCCGTGTGGCTGACTTCTTCACCCTGAGCCACATTCTCCTGCAGCCACCTTCATACTCATCCTGCCCTACAAGAATAACAGAACCAATGACTAGATACCTTGTAAAGAGTCACACGATCTTGTGATGAGGCCCCCTCAGGCCACAGTGACTTTCTTATTCTGACAAGTCCCCCCTACAAGCAATCTGGAGCTTGGGAGAAACCACAAACCACTTTCCCCTGAATTTCTCACCAAACTCACCCCACCCCTCCACAGTCCCAAGTCTTCCTCTTTGAAAACCCAAAGCTCACGTCTGCCCTTATGTACGTGAGCAAGGACTGGAATCTTGCAAGAACCTCTGCCCAATTCCTGCACGTAGCAAGTGTGGTAATAAATCTCCTTTCCCTCTCACCTCCGTTCCCTTTTTTTTTTTTTTTTTTTGTCACTCAGGGGCTTCAACTCTGGGCCTGGGTGCTGTCCCTCAGCTCTTCTTCCACTTGAGCCACAGCGCCACATCCGGCTTTTTCTGCTTATGTGGTACTAAGGAATCAAACCCAGGGCCTCATGCATTCTAGGCAAGCACTCTACCACTGAGCCACCTTCCCAGTCTCTCTCTCTACTTGAACTCAAGTACTCATGCTCTAGCTTGGCTTTTTTGCTCAAGACTGGTGTTCTACCTGTTGAGCTACACCTCTACTTCTGGGGTTTTTTTTGGGGGGGGGCTGTTAAGAGGATGTAAGAGTCTCTCTGATTTGTCTGCCTGAGTTGGCTTCAAAACTCAGTCCTCAGATCTCAGTCTCCTGAGTGGCTAGGATTACAGGCCTGAGCCACCAATACCAGGCTCCATACTCCTCTCTCTCTCTTTTTTTTTTTTTTATTTTGTCAGCCATGGGGCCTGCACTCCAGGTCTGGGCACTGTGCCTGAGCTCTTCAGCTCAAGGCGAGCGCTCTACCACTTGAGCCACAGCGCCACTTCCGGCTTTTTCTGCTTATATGGTGCTGAGGAATTGAACCCAGGGCCTCATGCATGCAAGGCAAGCACTCTACCACCAAGCCACCAGCCCCCTTTAATGGCATCTTGGAGGGAGTGGCTGGACCTGAAATCTTGGACATCCAAGAGTTGGACATCCAAGGACATCTAGATTTGTATTGACTCAATAAAAGTTCTGAATGTTGAACTGACATTGGCCTCACAGTTGACCAGGAAATCAAGACGCTGCCTGCATCTGCCATTCACCCTGCTGGGCGCTGGGAACAGCCGATGGACATCTGGAGACAGGAGGGTATCAGGAGACATGGCAGCCACACTGGGCTGCACAGGACAAGGAGGACAAACAGCTGGGTTAGGACTGAGGCACTCAGACATGAGAGGATGCCACAGCTGGGCCCTCAGGACCAGAACTGAGGAGCCTCAGGCAGCAACATTGAAGAAGGGAAGATTCTATGGAGACCAGGTGCTGGTGAGTCACACCTGTAATACCAGCTACCTAGGAAGCCAAGATCTGAGGATAGAGGTTTGAAGCCAGCCTAAGAAGTAAAAGTCTGAGCCGGGCGCTGGTGGCTCACACCTGTAATCCTAGCTACTCAGGAGGCTGAGATCTGAGGATCACAGTTCAAAGCCAGCCCAGGCAGGAGAGACTGTGAGACTCCTATCTCCAATAAACCACCGGAAAACCGGAAGTGGCGTTGTAGCTCAAGTGGTAGAGTGCTCGCCTTGAGCTGAAGAGCTGAGGGACAGCACCCAGGCCCAGAGTTCAAGCCCCACGACTGACAAAAAAAAAACAAAACAAAACAAAAAAAAAAGAAGTAAAAGTCTGGGAGAGTCTTATCTCAATTAATAAGAAAAGGCCACAAGTGGAGCTGTGGCTCAAGTGGTAGAACACCAAAGAGCCTAGCAAAAGTGTCAGGATTAAGTTTAAGTCTCAGGAGCAAGAAGTACCTATAAAAATAAATTAATGGACCAGGCACCGGTGGCTCATGCCTATAATCCTAGCTACTCAGGAGGTTGAGATCTGAGGATCGAGGTTCAAAGCCAGCCCAGACAAGAAAGTCTGTGAAACTCTTATCTCCAATAAACCACGAGAAAACCAGAAATGGCGCTGTAGCTCAAATGGTAGAGTGCTAGCCTTGAGATGAAGAGCTTAGGGATAGCACCCAGTCCCTGAGTTCACGTTTTAGGATTAGCACACACACAATAAATAGAATGAGTAAATAAAATAAAAAGTATAAGGCTAGATTCTCAGAACTGCTGTACCTATAGCCTCTGCCTGCTCCGTGGTATGTATGTTCCTAGCTGTCCATCAGCTCCACATAGCACATATAGGTAGGGTGGCCACTTGCCCTGCCCACCACTGGTGACTGACAGATTCTACTCAAATGCTGAGAGGGAAGAGAATAACAGGAAGAGCTTAAAGAAGCTGGGAGGAAATCCAGCTCAGAGGGAAGAAGGACAGCAGAGCTGACCCCTGAGCTGACCAGCCTGGGAACAGGGCTAGAGTCAAAGCACGCCTCCACAGAGGCCAGAACTGGAAACAGATATCATCATGGAGGTGGAGACCCACTCAGCCCTTCCCCACAGAGGACACATGCCCTGGCAGGGGCTCCTGCTCACAGGTGAGGGGAGGGTTTACCCGGGGGAGGGATGGAGGTCAGGGGAAGGAGAGCACAAAGATCCGCTGGGGTGGCTGGGTGCTGATGGCTCACGCCTGTAATCCTAGCTATGCAGGAGGCTGAGATCTGAGGATCGCAGTTCAAAGCCAGCCCAGGCAGGAGAGACTGTGAGACTCCTATCTCCAATAAACCACCAGAAAACCGGAAGTGGCGCTGTAGCTCCAGTGGTAGAGCGCTCGCCTTGAGCTGAAGAGCTGAGGGACAGCGCCCAGGCCCAGAGTTCAAGCTCCACGACCGACCAAAAAAAAAAAAAGATCTGCTGGGGTCTCCTGTGAAGCACAGGAGCTGACAGGAGACACAGAGCTTCTATGTAGAGCTTAACGTAACAGGACATAAGGAGAGACTGAGGCCGGGCACTGGAAATTCTCACTGAACTGGAAATCCCCCCCCCCCTCTTTTTGTACCAATCCTGGAGCTTGACCTCAAACCTGGGTCCTGTCCTAGAGCTTTTGTGCTCAAGGTTAGCACTCTTCTACTTGAATCACAGTTCCACTTCCATCTTTTTAGTGGTATCTTGGAGATAAGAGTCTCACAGGCCTTCCTTCTCAGGCTGGCTTTGAACCACACAGTGTCCTGAGTAGCTAGGATTACAGATGTGAGCCACCAGAGCCTGGCTTAAACTGAAAATCCTAATGGGATAGGAAAAGCTTAACTCTTCCCCCATTCAAGTTAATCATCAATAGCCATTATATTGTGAAAAATATCGTCAATAATTATGCCTGAGGAATCTTGCAATAAAAAACACAGCTACAGCTTTAACCCAGTCCGTTTCTGGATGCTGGTGGTTCATGCCTATAATCCTAGCTATTGAACAGGCAGATATCTGAGGATTATGATTCAAAACCAGCCCAGGCAGAAAAGTCCATGAGAATCTTTATCTCCAAAGAAGCACCCCCCAAAAAAGCCAGAAGTGGAGCTGTGGCTCAAGTGGTAGAATGCAAGCCTTGAGCAAATGAGCTAAAGGACAGCACTGAGGCTGTGAATTCAAGCCCCAGTAACACAGGGGGGAAAAATGTATATCCTTAACCACCAACCTCAGTAATTGCCAAATAAAGTCAGTGGACATTCAAGGGCAGTAAAGAAATAGAGGTGTACTACCAACAGAGCTAATAAGAGACAGACAGACAGCTGTGCTTGCATGTGCATGCACAGACACAGACACACAGACACAGATACACACACACATACACACATCTCAAGGCAAGGAATTGAAGACACATTCTCGGGCTCCATCTTCCATCCAATACCAAGTCTTACCATTGATGGGTTTTTCTCTCTGTCCCTCCCAGCCTTCTTTTTAACTGTGTGGAACCCACCCAGGACAGCCCCGTTCACCGTTCAACCTGTGCCTCGCATGGCTACAGAAGGAAGCATGGTTACCCTACAGATCCGAAACCTGCCACACAATGTGTTTGCCTTACGCTGGTTTAAAGGAGAGGAGACAGTGGACAGACATCAGATTCTCTTCTATTTGCCCAAAGAGAAATACTTCAAAGCAGGGCCCGCCTTCCGAGGCCAGCAGATCCTGTTCCTGGATGGTTCCTTAATGTTCCAGTCCGTCACAAAGAGTGACATGGGATTCTACACTTTGCAGGTCATCCAGGACAACCTGTGGAGCGAGGAGGCGTCGGTGTTCCTCCTCGTGTCCTGTGAGTGACTCTCACATGAGCACTGGGGGAGGTGAGGGAGGGGGTGACAAGCCACAGAGGGGACATAGCAGGGACAGGTGAGAAGGCAGAGCCCGGGGTCTCAAGAGGAGGGGGTCAGGGAAGGCTCTCCCCACCCCGCCAGGACACCCCGAGTGTGATCAGGGCTGAGAGGGCGGCGAGGGGTGAGCCATAAAGCCCTCTGGGAAGAGTATTGCACACAGAGATGGAGTGACAAGTTGATGGGGCAGTGGAGGAATGGAGGTTGTGTGGCTGACAATGCCAGTAGGAGACAGACAGACAGACAGACAGACCGACAGACAGACAGACAGACACACACACACAAACACACACACACACAGACACACACACACACACACACACACACACACACACATACACACAGACACAGACACACACACACACACACACCAAAGCAGGGGAATGAAGATAACCTTCTTTCAGGGCTCAGGACTCCATTTTCCAAACCAATACTAAAGTCTCAATATTGCCAGGTGCTGGTGGCACCTGTCATCCTAGCTACTCAAGAGGCTGAGATCTGGGGATTGTGGTTCAAAGCCAGCCCAGGAGAAGGAAAGTCTGTAAGACTCTGATCTCCGATGAACCACTCAAAAGTCAGAAGTGGAGTCATGTGTGGCTCAAGCGCTAGCCTTTGAGCAAAAGAAACTCAGGGAAAGCATCCAGAAGCCCTGAGTTCAAGCCCCAGGACTGGCACACACAAAAAATCTCAATATTGGGCTGGGAAGGTAGCTCAGTGGTAGAGTGCTTACATTGCATGCATGAGGCCCTAGGTTCGCTTCCTCAGCACCACATTAGCAGAAAAAGCTGGAAGTGGCGCTGTGGCTCAAGTGGTAGAGCACTAGCCTTGGGCTGAAGAGCTGAGGGACAGCACCCAGATTCAGAGTTCAGGTCCCACAACTGGACCAAAAAAAAAAGAAGTCTCAATCTTGATGTGTTTTTCTCCTCCTTCTTAGCTTCACCTCTATCTTTGTCCAACTGGACCACCCCTGCCAACGTTGCCTTTGAATTGGTGCCCCCCTATGTTTTTGAAGGAGAGGATGTTCTTTTACGGGTCCACAAGTTACCAAAGAGTTCACTGGCCTTTCGCTGGTTCAGAGGGAAAGAGGCTAATAAATCCAATCGCATTTTCTTGTATTTGCTAACCATTGGAAAATGGAAATCAGGACCGGCTTACAGCGGCAGACAGCGGGTGTACCCAGATGGCTCCCTGCTTTTCCAGAACATCACTCAGAATGACACCGGCTTCTACACCCTAGAAATTGTCTCGGAAGATGTGAAGACTGAATTTCTGTCCGTGGAGATCCACCTGGCCTGTGAGTGATTCTCAGGAGCTCTGGGTGCTGAGTGGGGGCAGATACCCTGCACATCCAGGACGAACCACAGGCCACAGTCCCACTGTCCTGGGGGCCACAGAGATCCCCTAGGGAGGTTTGTGTTCCCAGAGGCTTCTCAGAGTCTCCCTTTTCTAGAAGAAAATGAGCCTCAGGTATTGTTTTGTGGGTTATTGAGTATGGAGGCTGTTTATCCCATATCTACTCTCCAGGACTTACTGAGAATATTTTGTTTTTCTTTTTAATTTTTTTTTTTTTTGTCAGTCATGGGGCTTGAACTCTGGGCCTGGGCGCTGTCCCTCAGCTCTTTAGCTCAAGGCTAGCCACTCTACCACTTGAGCCACAGCACCACTTCCGGCTTTTTCTGCTTATGTGGTACTAAGAAATCGAACCCAGGGCCTTAGGCAAGGCAAGTACTCTACCACTGAGCCACCTTCTCAGCCCTTACTTTTCTTTTTGCCAGTCATGAGGCTTGAATTCAGGGCCTGGGTGCTGTCCCTATGCTCTTTGGCTCAAGGCTAGTGCTCTACCACTTTTGAGTCACAGCTCCACTTCTGGTTTTCTGGTGGTTAATTAAAGATAAGAGTCTCACAGACTCTCCTATCCAGGCTGGTTTTGAATCACGATCCTCAGATCTCAGCCTCCTGAGTAGCTAGGATTACAGGCGTGAATCAGCAGTGACCAACTGCTGCTGTTGCTGCTGCTAGTACTGCTACTGCCTCCTCCTCCTCCTCCTCCTTTTACTCCTCCTCTTCCTCCTCCTCCTCCTCCTCCTCCTCCTCTCCCCTCCTCCTCCTCCTCCTCCTTCTTTCTTTTTCTTCTTCTTCCTCTTCGTACAGAAAAAGATTTCTCATGTATCAGTGAAGGGAAGACAATAATTTAGCACATCTTCAACCATCTTAGATATATAGATAGACCTGAGGTTTAGTTTTCTTTGATTCTGTGCAGATACTGGGGCTTGAACTCAGGTCCTGGGCACTATTCTCCAGCATCTTCACTCGGTGCTGTGGCTCAAAAGTGGTAGAGTGTTAGCCTTGAGCAAAAGAGCTCAGGGACAAGCCCTGAGTACAAGCCCCGTGACCAACAAAAAATGTTCATGGATAGCATCCATGCCCTTAGTTCAGTCCTCAGGACTCATGTATATGTGTGTATGTGCATGCATGTGCACACACACACACACACACACATTCACCTCAGGGCATGCCAGTTTAGATAACTTCCCAGGATTCAGGGCTCCAGTTTCCATTTGATACAAAGGTCTCAGTTTTGATTGGTATCTCTCTTCTCCCTCCTAGCCCCTCGGTTAACCTTCTGGTACAACACTACCTTGGCCAATACCACTGTTGAAATAGTGCCACCCAAAGTTATTGATGGGAAGAATGTTCACCTACTGGTCCACCATCTGCCACAGAATATTCTAGCCTTTTGCTGGTTCAAAGGAGAAAAGACGATTGATAGTCAAGTAATTTATTTCTCTATGCCAACCATTGGACAGCTTCAAGGACCGGCACACAGCGGCAGAGAGGTTATGTACCTCGATGGGTCCCTGCTTGTGCAGAACCTAACTCTGAACGACACTGGATTCTACACTTTCCAAATCCTCTTGATGGATTACAGTATTGAGGTGGTGTCTGTGGAGATCTTTGTATTCCGTAAGTGAGTCTCATGAACCCTGGGTCCTGGGTGGAGTAGATGTACTGCATACACAGGCCAGTGGGCCCGAATCAAGTCTATCTGCATGTTGTGGTCTTGTCGGGGTTTGAGCATTGATGGCAGGATTCACAGTGGCCAAGTCCTCTCCCTAAGACTTGTTACAGAGGACACAGAGAGACAGTCCACAGGCCATGGTCCCACTGTTCTGGGGACCACTGAGATCTCCTAGGAAGGTCTATCTTCCCAGAAGGCAAAATGGGGGGGGGGGAGAGGGGAAAGGTGTTCCTTAATAGTCTCTTTTCTAGAAAGAATCATGCCCAGAGTATTGTCTTGTGGGTCATGTAAGAATAAAGGCTGCAGCTGGGCACTGGTGGCTCAAGCCTGTAATCCCAGCTATCCAGAAGACTGAGATCTGAGGATCAGGATTCAAAGCCAGCATAGAAAGGAAAGTCCATGACACTCTTTTTGTTGTTGTTGCTGTTGGTTGTAGGCTTGAACTCTGGGCCTGGATGCTATCCCTCAGTTCTTCAGCTCAAGGCAAGCATTCTACCACTTGTGAAACAGTACCACTTCCAGTTTTCTGGTGGTGTTTTGGAGATAAGAGTCTCATAGACTTTCCTGTTCTGGCTAGCTTTGAACCATGATCCTCAGATCTCAGCCTCCTAAGTAGCTGGGATGACAGACATGAGCCACCAGTGCCCAGATGATGACACTCTTATCTCCAATGTACCACTCAAAAACCAGAAGTGGCACTGTGGCTCAAAGTGGTAGACTAGCCTTAAGCGGAAAAAGCTCAGGGACAGCACCCAGGCCTTGAGTTCAAGCCCCAAGACCAATTTAAAAAAATAATAAAAAGAATAGAGGATGTCAGATATCTTCTCTCCCAAACATACCGGAAGCATATACTTTAGGTTAATTTTGTGCCAGTACTGGGGCTTGAACTCAGAGCCTGGGCTCTGTTTCAGCATTTATACTTGAACCACCATTTCCAGCTTTTTGCTGGTTTAGTGGAGATAAGATTCTCACAGATTTTTCTGCCCTGTCTCTACCTTCCAACTGGGATCTTCAGATCTCAGCCTTCTGAATAGCTAGGATTACAGGCATAGCCACCAGTCCCCTACCAAAATTCTTAAGGAAGAGGGAAAAGCTCAACTCTTCTCCATTCAAGTCCATCATCACTGGCCAAGATTATTTGGAAAAAATCAATGTTCACATTTATGTCAGGGTGATCATTAAAATAAAAACCCAACTGGGGTTTGAACATGTCCTTAGCCACCAACCTTAGAAATTGCCAAATAAACCCTGTGGACATGCAGGGCCCTGGGAACAGTGCTTTATTCATCCATAGGTGTTTGAGCCTGGGCCTGGGCCAAGGATCACCACAGGGACCACAGCATCCCTGTCCCCACAGATCTCCAACCCTGCAGGCAGCAAGATAACTGTGAGGGCATCTAGAAGGGGAGGCCAGGAGGTGACAAGAACCACAGAGGGGACAGAGCAGGGAGAGGGGAGAAAGCGGAGCCCCAGGGTCTATAGAGGAGGGGGGCAGGGAAAATGTCTCCCCAGGACACCCCGAGTGTGAGCAGGGGGTGAGAGGGCAGCCAGGGGTGAGCCATGAAGCCCTCTGGGAAAAATCCTGCACACTGAGAGAGGGTGGCAAGTTCTCAGGCAGGGAAGAAATGGAGGTCATGTTGCTGACAGTGCCAGTAGGAGACAGACAGAGAGACAGATAGACAGACAGACAGACAGGCACACGCATGCGCACACATGCATGCACGCACACACGCACACACACACACACACACACACACGCAGAGCAAGGAAGGGAATTGAGAGTTGAAGGCATATTCTCTGGACTCAGGACTCCATTTTCCATCCAACATGGCAGTCTCACCAATGATGGATTTCTCTCTTATCCCTCCCAGCCTCCCTTTTAACCATCTGGAAGTCACCAATCCCTGCCCAGTTCACTATTGACGTCATGCCGCCCCTGGCCACTGAAGGGAGAGAGATTCTCCTGAAGGTCCACAATCTGCCACAGAATCTTTTTGCCTTCCGCTGGTTCAAAGGACAGCAGACCACCACCCACTGTGAAATTGCCTCATACGTGACCAAGCTGAGTATCACCACCCTAGGACCTGCATCCGGCCGCAGAGAGATCGTGTACCCTGATGGGTCTCTGCTGTTACAGAACATCACTCAGAAAGACACTGGATTCTACACCCTCCAAACTATAAAGGAAGATCTGTGGAGTGAAACATTGTCCTGTATCGCCCTGATCCGACCGTGAGTGATGCTCAGGAGCCCTGGGTGTCAGGTGGGGTATAGATACACTGCACACACAGGATGGTGGGCCTGCACCTAGTCTACCTTGTGTTCTCCATTATGTGGTCTTGTTGGAGTTTGAGCTTTGAAAGCAGGACTCACAGGGAACATAGTCTACCCCCTGAGGCTTTTGTTAAAGAGCATAGACAGATGGCCCACAGACCATGATCCCACTGTCTTGGGGACCATGGAGAGCCCCTAGGGAAGTCTGTGTTCCCAGAGGGATAAGTAAGAAAAAAGATGTTTGTTCCTTGGTGGTCCCTTTCATCCTAGCTACTCAAAAGGTTGATATCTGAAGGTTGTGATTGCAGACAACTCTGTGAGCCTCTTTTGCTCCAATTAAGCAGCAAAAAGTCAGAAGTGAGCTGTGGCTCACATGGTAGAGAATGTGGTTTGTAGCCAGCCCAGGCAGGAAAGTACAGGAGACTCTTCTCTCCAATGAACCACCAGAAAAGCAGAAGTGGCTCAAAGTTCAAGCACAAGTCTTGAACAGCTCAGGAAGAGTGCTCTGGCCCTGAGTTTAAGTCCCACGACTGATTAAAAAAAATGAAAAGCTAGGGCTGGAAAGGTGGCTCAGTGGTAGAGCGCTTGCCTTGCATGCATGAGGCCCTGGGTTCGATTCCTCAGCACCACATAAGCAAAAAGAAAAAAAGCTGGAAGTGGCACTGTGGCTCAAGTGGTAGAACGCTAGCCTTGAGCTGAAGAGCTGAGGGACAGCGCCCAGGCCCAGAGTTCAGGCCCCATGACCGGACCCCCCCCAAAAAAATGAAAAGCTAAAGGACAGCCCCCAGGCCCTGAGTTTGAGTTCCAGTACTGGTGTGTGTGTGTGTGTGTGTGTGTGTGTGTGTGTGTGTGTGTGTGTGTGTGTGTGTGTGTGTGTGTGTGACCTAAACAAAGACACAGATGCTCTGAGTAGGGTCAAGCCCATCCTGTGGCCACCATACCAAACTCACGATGGCCCTGAGAACTGGCTGATATCTGCAAGGATGTACCATGATCCAGGCCTCAGGGCCATTCCCAGTCCCTCCTCTTCTGTTTCTCCACAGAGCCAATGGCACAGTCCTCTCCGTAAGCCAGAAAGCCTACAGCCACAGAAAAGGGGCATGTAGTCCTGATCTGTCTGTCTAGTGACTTTAGAATCTCTATCCGGTGGATCTTCAATAACCAGAGTCTTGAGGTCACCAAAAGGATCCAGCCTATCATGAACTTTTCTCAGGAGAAACCCCATCAGGAAGGAGAATGCCAAGGAGTGCAGGTATAAAGTCTCCCACCCTATCAGATACACTTGGACACTACTAAAGGTTAATAAAGTTTCCAGGCACTGGTGGCTCACACCTGTCATCCTAGCTACTCAGGAGGCTGAAATCTGAGAATCGTTCCAAGCCAGTGCTGGCAGGAAAGTCCATGAAACTCTTCTCCGATGAACCACCGGAAAACCAGAAGTGGCATTGTAGCTCAACATGGTAGAGTGCTGGCCTTGAGTGATAAGGCTCAGGGACAGTGCCGAGGCCTTGAGTTCAAGCCCCATGACCCCCCCCCCCAAAAAAAAAGAAAAGATCATTAAAGTCTCTTGAATCCTGATCACATGACATCGCGGCTCCTGGGCATTCCTATGTATTGAGCAATTGTGAAGAAGCCAGCCAATGGATGAATGGAGGTGGAAAATCCCTAGTTTGAGCTGATATCACATGGACCTCAGACAGCAGTGGACAGCAGATCCCTCTCTCTCTCTCCCTCCCTCCCCCTCTGTCTCTCTCCATCTCTCTCTGTCTCTGTCTCTCTGTTTGTCTCTGTCTCTCTCTCTCTTTCTCTCTCTCTCTCTCTCTCTCTCTCTCTCTTCTCTCTCTCTCTCTCTTTCTCTGCCAGTCCTGGGCTTTGAACTCAAGGCTTTGGCACTATCCCTGAGCCTCTCTGTACTCAAGGCTAGCACTCTATCACTTGAGCCACAGCACCACTTCTGGCTTTTTCTGTGTATGTGGTACTGAGGAATCGAACCTGGGATTTCATGCATGCTAGGCAAGCATTCTACCACTAAGCCACATTCCCAGCCCTAGATCCCACTCTTTAGTGGTCTCAGATGACCTTCTCTGCTGGGATGTTGTGTTCTCTGGGGAAAAGGACACACTGGCCAATGGGAGTTGGGCATTGAGTAGACTCAATCTCCCTTGCTCAATGCTCCCAGCTACCCCCCCCCCCAGGGTGTGGCACCTGAGCAAGGCTAAGTCTTGCTGAGTAGTTAAACCCTACATCCCTGAACTCACTCACCCTCCATGCCTGCAGTAGCTCCAGTAGTCTCCCTTCCTGCACCAGCAAACTCCCAGTCCATAAAGAGGAAGGGGTTTTTGTTCCACTTTGTACTGGTGGATTATTGTCTATCCCTCTTAATATTCCTGGAGAGAGGGGACTAGGAGGGGACTAGTGGACTAGACTTTGATTCTCAACCTCATCAAAAGCTAGGGGACACACACACATACACACACACACACACACACACACACACACACACACTTTCCCCTCTCACTCTGGGTTCCCCAGCTACCCTAGGAGTCTGGGAACTATTTATCTCTGAGGCCAAGTAGTAAGGAAATAAACTCTATGCTTCCCTGGGGTCTGAGAGCTGTCCTAAGTACTGGCAGGCAGCTTAACATACAACTCCAGAGGGCACTTTGCCTTGATTACCAGCCACACACATCTTTAGACTGACCTGGCAAGACATGGCTGTGGACTGGTCATCCTCTCTTGACTCTCCCCCCCCCCCCCCCATAGATCTAGGTGATCTTCCGTTCACCTGTGTCCTTGTAGAACACAGGGCCACTTTGGCATCCTTGCCTGACCATAGGAGTAGATCTTACTCCACAGAGCAGGCTAAATTTAAGGGGAATCATCAAGGGAGGGGAAGGGAGAGAAAGGAACAGTGATCCTCAAGGTAGAAGCAGCTCAGTTTCCCTCCCAGGCAGGTGATTAATGAACAAGGCAAGCTCCTTCTGGAACAAAGCTTTCCTGTGTCCCTCAGGTACCATGGGAGGATCCAGGATTCTGGAGACATTGTGAGTAGAATCGAATGGTTGGGAGGCTGGGAGTAGATAATGGAATGGGCTGGAGAGAATGCTTTTGGGAATAGGGAAAGAGTAAGGCTGCCAAGTACAGAGAGGGTTCCAAGAAGCATTATGACATCCTGATGTCAGCCAGGCACCAGTGGCTCACTCCTGTAATCCCAGCTACTCAGTAGGCTGAGATGTGAGGATCACAGTTCAGTCAGCCCAGGCAGGAAAGTCTAGGAGACTCTTATCTCCCGTTGAACCACCAGGAAACCAGAAGTGGAGCTGTGGCTTATAGTGGTAGAGCACTGGCCTTGAGCAAAAGAATTCAAGGACAGCAACCAGGCTCTGCATTCAAGCCCCATGACTGACAAAACAAATAAATCTTGATGTCAACACAGGCCCAGAACAACCACAACCCGCTATGATCCCTTAGTTTCTCCCTATCCCCAGAAACTGCAGCTATGAGCCATGGGCAGATGGCTAAGGTTAGTCCTTCTCTAGGAAAAGGGGGCTCCCAGGGAGAATGAAGTCTCATTAGGGGGTCACCTGCAAAGGAGCTAAAGGAGCTAAATAGAATTATTTTTTCCCTTCAGTGGCTCTTTCTGTGCTCATGGGATGTCCTCTGAGCAGAGTTATTCCTACACAGTCTCTACCTGGGAAAAGGGATCTTAGACTTGGGAACCAGGGTGAAAATTAGGGTTCAGCCCAGAAAGGGCTAAGATTCACCCAACAGACCACTTAGTCCAACAGCGCCCTCTTCTGTTGGCATGGGATACGGAAAAGTGTAGTTTCTCCTTTCTCAGGAAGATTTTTTTTTTAATTGCAAATACTTTTTCTGCATGTCTTGAGATGGGTTACATAATGATACTGTCTCAAAAATAAATAAATAAATAAATATATATATATATATATATATATATATATATATATATATATATAAAAGGATACAGGCAATGGTGGTTAATGTCTGTAATCCTAGCTACTCAAAAGGCTGAGATCTGAGGATTATAGTTCAAAACTAGCCCAGGCAGAAAAGTCTCCATGAGACTCTAAAATCCAATTAACCACTCAAAAACTGGAAGTGGCACTGTGGCTCAAAGTGGCACAGTGCTAGCCTTGAGCAAAGCAAGAGAGCTCAGTTACAGTGCCCAGGCCCTGAGTTCAAGCTCACAACCGACTATGTGTGTGTGTGTGTGTGTGTGTGTGTGTGTGTGTGTGTGTGTGTATGTGTGCACACGGAGCAATACCTGTCATCTACTCTGGAGGCTGAGATCTAAGAATCTCGATTTGAAGCCAACCTGGAAAGGAAAGTCTATGAGACTCTTGTCTCCAGTGAACCAGCAAAAAAGCAGGAAGTAGAGTTGTGGCTCAAATGATAGACACTCACCCTCACGGTAAGTGTCCAGGCCCTGTGTGTCCCAGGAGTGGCACACACACACACACACACACACACACACACACACACACACACACACACAGAGGATTTGTTTGGTCTCTTACATACTTTCTATACCTCTACATGATCAGGAATCACAGGAAAAATGGGTGAGGTAATTATTTCTACAGCTTTATTTGGTGAGGCAAAGGAGTCCGGGTGCTTGTCCGGTCCAGCTGGACAGTCACTCGCTGAGAGCAAGGAGGAGGCCTAAGACAAGGCCTCCAAAAGAACCGTGGCAGCAAAGAGCGCTGCCGCCGCCGGTGCTCTGGGACTTATCCATATTATTAAGGGTCTCAGTGACTTGGATGCTTCCCACGTGCTGAAAATCTGCTAAAAGCTTGTGCTGCTGGCGAGCGCAGCCCATGAGGATGAAGGTGCTGTTGAGATCTCCTGCAAGTCAGGGTGGGAAGGATCAGGGATGTATTCCCACAGGCGCCTCCCCAACCAGGACACCTATGCTCCCACGCCAGAGCATGGGTTGGGCAGAGGCACAATTCTTCTTTGGATTGTGTGTGTGTGTGTGTGTGTGTACATGCCCACATGTCAGAACTTGAACTCAGAGCCTCATGCTTTTCCTTCCCTTCTTTCCTTTCCTCCCTCCTTCCCTTCCTTCCTTCTTCCCTTCTTCATTCTTTCATTCTTTCTCCCTCCCTTCCTTCCTTCTTCCCTTCTTCATTCTTTCTTTCTTTTGCTCAAGATTAGTGCATTACCACTTGAGCCACAGCCTTACTTCTGCTGGGAGGAGGGGGTGCCAGTTCACAGCTCTACTTCCAGCTTTTTTGGGAGAGGGGGTAATTGGAGATAAGGAACTCATGAACACCAGGCTCTGATAAGCTTATACCTGTAATCCTGCTGACTCAGGAGGCTGAGATGGAAGGATCACAATTCAAAGACCAGGAGACTCTTACTCCATTGAACCACCAGAAAACTGGAAGTGGTACTATGGCTCAAAGAGTGCTAGTCTTGAGCAAACGAGCTCAAGAACAGTGCCCAGGCCCTGAGTTCAAGCCCCACGACCAACAACAGCAACAACAAAGGATCTAATTGGCTTTCCTGCTTGGGCTGGCTTCAAAACTGATCCTCAGATCTCAGCCTCCTGAGTAGCTAGGATTACAGGCGTGAGTCACCAGCTCCTGTCCCCCCTGGAATTCTTGCACTCCTAATCCGACTTCTGGATCCCACCAGATGCTCTAGATGGCTCTAGACGTGCCTTTGTACATAGACTAGACACGGAGTAGGCAATTCGATCAAAAACTTCCTCTTCTGGACTGGGTGCTCCTGTCTGTCATCCTAGCTATTCAGGAGGCTGACATCTGAGGACCAAGGTTCAGAGCCAGCCCAGGCAGGAAAGTCCCTGAGACTCTCATCTCCAATGAACCACCAAAAATCCAGAAGTGGAGCTGTGGCAAGTGGGTAGAGCACCAGCCCTGAGCACAAAAGCTCGGGGACAGTACCCAGGCCAAGTTCAATCCCCAGGACTAACACAAAAGAAAAAAAAAGTTCTTCCTCTCTCACCAGCCTCAAACTTTAAGGTAGAGCTGTAACACGTAGAGGCACTGTAGGGGCAAGTCTCGTTGGCGGCAAAAGCTGGATGGCATTCCTCTTCCAATCTGCCCACACAGGTGGGGCAAGTGTGGGTAGACAGAGGGACGGTCTTGGGAACAGTAGACTTGATCCTCCAAAAGGGGTCTACGTTGGTGAGGTTGTTGCAGAGGTAAGACCGGCAGATGTGGCTGTAGGAGGCGATGGAGATTCCAGGTGGTGCAACAAGGTAGGAGACTTGAGGCGGGTAAGAGATGGCTGAGCTGCAGCCTTTATAACTCACGACTCCTCTGCTGGTCCCTGAAAAGCAGAGGGTTAGAGAGCTCTGATCAGTGGCATTGCCTCACCCTATGCTGGGCTTCCCAGGGGCCCAGGACACTGCACTCAGATGCCCTTTTTTTTTTTTTTTTAATCCGGACATGGGGCCTGAACTCTGGGTCTGAGCGCTGTCCCTCAGCTCTTCAGCTCAAGGCTTGTGCTCTACCACTTGAGCCACAGCACCACTTCCAGCTTTTTTCTTTTTGCTTATGTGGTGCTGAGGAATCGAACCCAGGGCCTCTGGCATGCAAGGCAAGCGCTCTACCACTGAGCCACCTTCCCAGCCCCATCAGATGCCCTTTTTCATGTATGCTGGTCCTGGGTCTGCTTGAACTCAGAGCCTGGTTACTATCTTTGAATTTTTGTGCTCAAGGCTAGCACTCTACCACTTTGAGCCACAGCTCCACTCTGGCTTTTTGTTGGTTCACTGGAGATTAAGAGTCAGGGGCTTTCTTGCCTGGGCTGGCTTTGAACCTCTCAATCCTCAGATTTCAGCCTCCTGAGTAGCTAGGATAACAGGTGTAAGACAGGAGTGCCCAATCAAGAAGAGGAATTTTTTTTTAATCATATTGCCTACTCTGTGTCCAGTCCGTGTACAAAGGTATGTCTGGAGACATCATCATCTGGTGAAATCCAGAGGTGGGATTAGGAGTGCAAGAATTCCAGGGAAGTCCAGGGCCTGGGGGCTCACACCTGTCATCCTAGCTACTCAGACACTGAGGGCTGAGGATCAGTTTGAAACCAGCCTGGGGGGCTGGGAAGGTGGCTCAGTGGTAGAGCGCTTGCCTTGCATGCCTGAGGCCCTGGGTTCGATTCCTCAGCACCACATACGAAAAAGAAAAAAGCCAGAAGTGGTGCTGTGGCTCAAGTGGTAGAGTGCTAGCCTTGAGCTGAAGAGCTAAGGGACAGCGCCCAGGACCAGAGTTCAGGCCCCATGACCGGACCTCCCCCAAAAAATAAATAAAATGAAACCAGCCTGGGCAGTAAAGTTAATGGAATTCTTTCTTTTTCCTTTTCTTTTCTTCTTCGTTTCTTTTGTCATCATGGGGCTTAAACTCAGGGTTTGGGCGCTGTCCCTGATCTCTTTTACTCAAGACTAAGCACTCTACCACTTTGAACCACAGCACCACTTCTGGCTTTTTGTTGGTTCATTAAGAATTTCATGGACTTTTTTGTCCATGCTAGCTTGGAACCTCGATCCACAGGTGCCCGGCTTTTTTTTTTTTTTTTACTTTTTTAGGTCTGAGACTGAGACTGGAACATGACACCTGACGCCCCTCATTGGCTAGTGCTCTACCAACTGAGCCACACCTCCAACCTCTCCATCCCGCCCTATCTCCATTGCACAGAACAAACATCTGGGATCCACTCTACCCTTGCCAGTATCCTGACATATACAATGAGGTAAGCATGAGGAATTCTGGTTTCTTGTCTTGGGGGGGGGGCGGCAGAGGGGGGAGTTAGGGGGTAGAGATGGGGTGGGGAACAGGACAGGAAGGAAAAGGCGAGCCTTCGCATCTCACCTGTCTCGATGAATAGAACCGTCTCCTCACAGCCCTCTCTCAGCTTACACACCATGCTCCTTGTCAGCAACCAATCCCAGTCATGGAAGGAAACTGTCCTGAAGTTGGAGGCTATGGCTTCATAACACAAAAGGGCCTCGCCCCCTAAAGAGAGAATGCTTGTTGTCTCCCATCCCTACCCCCCCCAGCCCTGGCCTTCTCAGCCTTCAATTGTCAATCAAAGAGCTCAGCCCCCATAGACCCTGGCCTCCAAGGAACCCAGATATCCAGCCCTCCTTCTCCCAGGGACATGACTCCAGCCTCCCACCTTTTGGGGCCTTATAGCATCCAGCCCCACAGGACATACGAGGCAGAGAGGAGATGGCCCCTAGGAGGCATAGCAGCTGCACGGATCTCAAAGGCTGGTGTCCCATGGCTTGGTTTTTGGGGACTTAGATTCTAGAAGTCAGTCTGGAATCAATCCTGTCTAGGTCCCAAGCTCGATTCTTGTCAGTCTTTAAATTCTCTGTCCATCCGCCTCCAGGTCACTGTTTTTGGAAACAGAACAGTGACTGTGTCAGTTGCTGTGGCTCGGTATGCTCCATCACCATGTCCTCTCCTCTCATCTGACTCAGAAAGCGCTTCAACTTCTCAAAGTTGGGCTC